CAATGATTTCTATCGAGCCATCCCGACCCCCGTTGCTTGCGTGCCTTTCGTCTCCGACTTGCTTTTTCAACACCCAGGTGTCACAAATCGTACATTATCAATGCCCCGCGAGCGTTCACGGCTCTGTGGCGTGTAGTCTCGGCCATGCTAGACACCAGGTGAGCACAACGATTTTGCCGCGGCACTGCTTTCGTGTCGTGGCCGGGAGGGATACATGTGCTTGTGGTTCTGCTGTAGGTTTGTCATCTCTCTCGTATTCGTTCTCATCATCGTCGACGTTATCATCACCGCGCGGTTTTGTTCTTCGGAATTGTCGACATCCCGGCGGCAGCTGATACCGTGCTTCGTGGTTGCTGTTGTTTTTGGTGGTGATGGGGTAGTTGTCCTTGGTGTTTGAATCGTAGTCGTCGTCGTCGTCGTCGTTATCATCACCGTCGTGGTTGCGTTTTTGAGGAGTGTTCGACCTCCCCGCGGCAGATGATACCATTGGTTATTTATTTATCTTCTCGCATTGCTACCGGGACTGTTCATGCTGACTTTCTGCTGATGCTCGTTTGTGCAAACGCCCTTGTTTTTCCGGAATATGCGCAACCATGAAACAGAACTCGTGCCAAGATTTCTATTTTGGGAACGAACTACCTAGAGGAGATGAAGGAGGAGATCGATATTTCCCAGATTCCGCCAGAGTACGGCGGGAGCAGCGGCAGGGCTATCGACGACTCGGACGATGAAAGGAAGGTCAGTAGGCTAGCTACAGTTGTCAGGAATTGCCGTGGGACTTTCATCGTGCAGAACAGGTTTGGATGAGGGTCAACCTCCTAAGGTGCGTTCTTATTTGGGATGAGAATCGTAATCGTATACAGACGTTTGAGGACATAGGTGGTTTGATTCGCTCCAACGATGGCAGCAAAGTAGAGAGAGATTGGAACTGCCACAAGTGACTGAATACAAAAAAGAACAGGATCAGTGCATCATGTGCTTGGTCTTGGAATTGGCACGCAAGTGAGTAGTGGTGTCACAGCCGCCTCGATGCTGAACATCGCCCGGCGACGACGACAAGGCCGTGACAATGAGTTTATTTTCGTATTCCCCCCCACCCCCACCGTCCGCTCTGAAAGCAGTCTACGTAGTCTGCTATGTACAGTGGGGGGCCCGCTATTGTGCCGGTTGAATAGTGCCGGTGCCCGGTATAGTGCCGGTAAAATTTCTGGACACAGACAGCGACCTCAGTAGTGCCGGGCCGGCACTATTGAGGGATGGCTCGTTATAGTGCCGGTTGGGCGCCGCTGTGCCCCCCAATAGTGCCGGTTCACTACTGCTGTAGACACACACACACACATACACACACCACGACACCAGAGGACAGACGCCACAGTGACGGAGTGTACACCTGCTGTTGCAGACCCTAAGAGCGCTAAGCAGAGGCGCACCATGCCTTGTGCGGAAGGTGAACTGTGCCTTCAACAGGACAGAACGCCGCAAGACCCTCATGCCCACGTCTGCCAGGGAGGATGTGGAGGGCGGCTCCACGGCAATTGCGGTAGCGTGTTTGACGACATCGAGACGCACCGTATATACAGCACGTGCGTTACCAGGATTGGCAAGCGCAAAGCGGCAGCAGCTGACGGTGCTGGGGCGGGACCATCTAAACGCCAGAAGGACAAGAGCGGTGGGAGCAAGAAGGGGGGTGTTCGTGTGCGCCCGGACAACAACACGAAGCTTGAGATTCTCAAGCTGCTGGATGCGAAGGTCTCTCAAGTACAGATTGCAGACCGCTTCGGGTGCTCGGAGCGGTTTGTTAGGACTGTAAAGGCTGACCGGAAGAAGGTGGAGGCTGCGACTGCTGCAGGCGGCGGCACCCAGAAAAATGCGCGCAAGGGAGACTTTCCGGAGGTGAGCTTCTTTTCCCCGCCTTTTTTTTTCAAAATTGTTGCGGGCCGCTGTTCACTGGCCTTTTTTCGTCCATGTTTTTTTTCTTTTCGTCGTTCTTCATTTTTTTTTTCACTGGTACAATAGATGTTGTCTCTCTTGTTTTTTCTGTCCATTGTTTGTCTGTCTCGGTTTTCTCACGTATGTATGTCCGCTTTCATCCTCCTTTCCTTTCTGTGTGGCTAGTTCGCTGTTAGTATCCCCCTCTTTGCGTCTTTCCTATTCTTATTTTTTTTTATGCACTCCGTATTGTATGTACAGCAGACATAATATACATAATCCATTCATTTTTTTTTGTGTGTTTTGATTTGTCTCTCTTTAAGGTCCGACTGTTTTGTTGTCCCGCCTGACCGCGCCGCGCAGTGTAGGATGCATGCTAATGTTCAAAACTAATGGTAAGACCTTCTGCTTGTTTACTCGTTTTTTGGCGGCAGGTGGATGCGATAGCTGTTTATCTGCTCACCAAAGCCCGGAAGGTCAAGATGCCCGTCACACGCGATGTCCTTCGAAGCTTCGGCCGTTCCGCCAGGACAACCCTGCTGGCTGACACCGCAACTTCTGCAGCAGTAAGAGCGAGGGTCGAGGACTTCAAGGCCGGCGAGAAATGGGTAAAGAACTTCGTGCAACAACATCCACAGCGTGCGACTTCATGGCGAGGCTGGTAGCGTCGACAGGGCGGCTATCAAGGAGGGCATGGACGAATTCAGGGCCCTTTGCGCGAAGTACCCGGCTAGGTTCATCTTCAACGTCGACGAGACAGGCCTCCAGTGGAAGCTCCTGCCCAGGCGCACGTACCTTTCCACCTCGGAGGATCGGGAGACGGCGCGGGGTTCAGAGAGCATGCACTTCAAGGACCGACTGTCTGCCATCATGTGCTGCAATGCCGACGGCACTGCGAAGATTGACATGGCCATCATCGGGAGGGCAATGGAACCCCGCTGCTTCAAGGACGTTGGTTCACCTCTCAAGTACGTCTCGCAGGCCAACGCGTGGTCCGACTCTGCGATGTTCCTCAAGTGGTGGCTTGAATTGTTCCTCCCGTTCGTTCGGCGCTTCACTCACGAACCTGTGCTGCTGCTGATGGACGGCTGTTCCTCTCACGTTGATATCGTGGATGACCGGGGGCAAGTGACCACCAAGGCCTACCCTCCGCTGTGCACCTCCGTACACCAGCCCATGGATCTGGGGGTCATCGCCAAGACGAAAGTCGTCTACAGGAAGGAGCTGATCGATGTGAAGACATCAACCATGTTCGTGGCTGACACACTTCGCGCCCAGGCGAAAGCCCGCAAGATGAAGGCCGAGACAATGGGGCTGGCGCAAGGGCACCAACTTCACGTGCGGGACGCCGCTGAACTTCTCGAGAAAGCATGGGCCAGCGTCACCGCCCAGGATATCGCCAGGTGAGGTTCGAACATGTGGTATTGCTGTTTTTTTTCAGCTCCCGCAAGTGCGCGTGGCTTTGGTGGTGCGGTACGTGGAGACGGTTGTACGGATAGTTTCGCATGGGTTTCCTTTTTTTCAACAGAGTACTGCAGCACCCGGGCATGCCCATTTCTCCTGTTCTACGAAAGGGTCCTCTCTCGCATTCCTATGAGTCATTCTTCGTCACTCCCGTCCAACATCGCTTGTCCACCCAAAAACGGATGCATTGCATTTTCTGCTATCTGGGACCAGGCGCTTTGTCAAGGCCGACACGCTTCCTCCGGAGATGGCGGCTGAGCTCACCAAACAACACGGAAAGACTCGGTTTAGCATCGCTGAGCCTGACTTGAAGGCTCTCACGGCGACCGTCAACAAGATGAGCACGAGCGTCGGCGACGCGCACGAGCAGCGAGCCGGCACCGTAGACGAGGAGATCAGTGAGCTCTTCGCAGAACTCGACATTGAACCCGGAAAGCCGGTCGAGGGAGAAGCGGTGAGCGCCATTCAGGGGTGGGCTACCATCGAGGACGACGATGAGGTGGCAGAGGCTCTTCCACTGGACGCAGTGGACGAAATGGCGGCACTGCTGGCTGGAACGCACCTTACAACAGGCGGCGAGGAGGAGGACGAAGAGGAGGGCAGTGGCGATGGCAACACGGGGCCCGAGCGCCGTGCTCCACCTGCTTATGCTGAGCTGTCGCCTCACTTCAGCGTCCTAGAAGCGGCAGCAGATGAGAGTGGCAACGGAGACGCGGCGTTCTTCCTAACGAAAGCGAAGATGGCAACGATTGCAGCGCATTCCGCTGAGCGGGTGCGCCAGGCAGACATGAGAGAGTGTGTTACTCCTACGGAGTAAGGTTGGGGGTGCAGCTGTTGTATGTAGCAATGGTTGTTTCCGTTTCTTCCGGTGCGCTTCCTGTCGTGTCTTTCTTTGTTTTTTTCTTGTTGTAACATCCAAGGGGGGGCGCCAGGCACACGTGAGAGAGAGTTAGTTGCTGCTACGTTGCTAGGGCGGGGAGAACAGCTGTGGTAGTAGTAATGGTCGTTATTTTTTCGTGCGGTGCGCTTCCTGTCGTCGTTCTTTCTCTCTGTTGTCTTTTTTTATCGGGCAACATCGAAGGAGGACAACGAGGACTTAGACGTCCGGTAATCCTACATTCATTTTCGATCCACGATCCACATCGTACTCTGTTGACCCCGCAAAGCTTGAGCGCTGCACCATGAAATCACCGCCTCCTCAGTAGTGCCCGTTAGTCCTCAGTAGTGCCGGTTAGTGCCGGACCGGCACTATTGAGGGATATGCGAAGCCTCAATACTGCCGAACCGACACTATTGAGGCACTATTCTGAATACTGCCGGTGCCCGGTATAGTGCCGCTTTTCCCTCTGGACCCTACCCGGCACTGTAGCGCCCCCCCTACTGTATCGAGACGTTCCCTTGTCATGCTTTGCAGGGATGCCACGGCATACGCCGCTGCACATGTGCCGCTAGGGTCGTCTTGGCGTGAACGCGCAGATAACCTTTCGGCCATGGGCAAGCTGCAAGTCGGCGTTTCGATCACCTCGTGGGAGCGCGGCTCAGTCTCGAACCAGATGCGCAGTAGATCGCCAACTGACTGCGGCAAGCAACAAAAGAGCCCCCCCCCCCCCCCCCCCCCCCCCCCCCCCCCCCCCCCCCCCCCCC